ATGCTCTTAGTGATAATACATTAATGCCTTAGCATGTAAGGCAGTTCTCTCCCATACAGATTTTGAGTACAAGGAGATTATCAGGAAAGGTCTATTATCTCTTGCCCTTGTGCTTTGCATCACACTCATTGTTCTCCACATTGTATGCTGTTACAAGACACAGCACCTTAGAGGGTGAAGAAATCCAGTTTTTAAAACCCTTACCATTACCCAGTGCAGGTGTAACTGCCCTAAAGTCAGAGACCTTCACCTCAGCCCAACCAGGCTTGTGGTACTTCAGCTGCCTCCCAACGGCAACCTGAGATCCTAATCTGAGAGCCCACCACACAGAGAGCGTAGTAAGGACAGGGTTGTTGGGCCGAGGCAACGATATCACCCTGTGCATCTGCTGGTAGGCTCTGCCCGGTTGTGTCACAACACTCAGAGATGAACCTGTGCAGATATGTCAGAGTCTGTACTCCAGCCAAGATAAGATAAGTGCAGCAAAGCCTGGCAAAGCTCCAGCTCTCCTTTTGGTTCACCCAAAAGAGTCGCTGATGATGGGTGGTCCTTCTCAGACCTTCCACTGTGGTCGTGGCCCCACCGGGAGCCTGGGGTTGGTCTTAGAGAGGGGCCCAGGCAGAAGGTGAGGTCTGGGGAGATGCTCAAGCATCCCACAGCCATCTCTTATCTCTGTAACTGACCAAAGCGAGGTAATCTCACCGTCCTGCCACTCAAACGCCTCCAAGGCGATCAGCATTTTAAGACTTGTGGTTTTGGCCTCCTTGCCTTGATGGCTCGGGTCTTTTTGGTGCTGTTGGGCAGCAGAAGACAGCATGGCCATTGCATGTGGCCTGGCTCAGCTAGCTGGGTTCAGAAAGGTGCTTCCCACCTTAAAGGTAGCAATACATTTGTAATAAACTTCATCCAATATGCCTGACTTTACCTGTGCCCTTTTAACAATTTAATTTTCTCTGTCTCTGTCCTGAATTAATAACGTGACAATCCCTTTAGATGTTGAAGGCTAAATTCCTCCATCACCACCAGCAGTGCAAATCCGTAAGCCATTTTATGAAAGTGCATAGAAGGCAACTGAGTAACTTCATTCTCACTCATGCTGATCCCTGTATTTTAATGTATTTATACAGTTGCATTTCAAGACAGAACTGGGCTTCCCACGTTGGTTTTCAGGTATTTCTATTTTTATAAAACATAGGAGTGAACAAAAAACCTTTTCAAGTGACCCTGAAAAGTTGAGGTAGAATGTGTGTTTGGTGAGGAAGGAGGGGAGATTTGGCAAAGAAATAAATTTAGTCTCAATGGGAAAGAGGGATCTGCTGCAGTTAGGACAGACATCTGTCTGCAGCTGTGTTTCTTAACTTTCTAGACTCTCCAGAGTTCTGCCTATAGTCTTGATAACACCTAGGCTTCATAGTCCTCCTAGAAGTTGGTCATCTACTGTTGGGGTCATCAGAGCGAACCTCCAGGATCTGCGAGTCCTTCAGTACAGTCTGCCTACAATTACATAATATTGACATATCACCACACACACAGGGCCTTCAATGAGCATTATTAGTTCTGGGAATTATTTTGGTAGAGAGCAGTAACTGATAATTGAGACAAACAGGGACGTCTATGCTCATTTTCTTCTGCTGTACTGGTTGAGCAGGATAATTACCTCTTGAATACCTCTGTGAGACCAAGACCAAGATCCTTTCACTATACATAAAATAGCCTTATTCAGCAGAGGACATCCTAAGAGGAAGCTAAGCACCTTCTGGAAATAAGGTACTAGTTTATATTCCTTTGTGAAGAGGGAGTGATTTGCACAAAGTAACCCCAGTGGTATTGTACTCATTTTTTTCTGAGTGAGACCTAACACCCTTGGAAATTTCAGCTGTTAAGCATAAAACCTTTAAATAATGGATTAGAAACAGGTGCTAATAATACACAAATATAAGGAGGGTTTTAGGGGAGTCAAAGAGCTTAGGTTCTCCATCTCCCAGTCAGCAAATTTTTCCTGTCTTCTGCTGAATTTCAAATTGTGGGGCAAGAGGTGTTCATTAATGGAGAGGGATTAGAAAAGGAGACTTGTGTGTTTCCTGCATGACCTGTGTCATGTTTGATGTGTTATTTCATCTGCCCTTCCCTCACTCTCCATGCAGATGAGCACCAGGGATTTTTCTTGGGCTCAAGACTTTATAGGACTCTTTATCCAGAGAGGAGACAGGGTCAGAACAGCCACTGTGGAGCTCACACCTACAGCATGATTCTTAATTTATTAAAAATACTTGAATCTGGGTTAATAGCTACCCACCCTGGGTGTTTTCTCTTCCCTGTAGTTTTGACTAGGATTCAGCCCTCAATTTGAGAAGCATTCCCAGCAGGAGTTTTTTCAAATCTAACATGTTTTCCAGAGTGCCTTTTCCCCCCTGAATTCTCCCTAAACAATTAATAAAAAAATCCTTAACCACCCCTGCAAGTGAGTCCATTTTCATTAATGCCTTGAAGTTCCATGAAGATTTACAGGTACAATAGGCGAGGGAGGCTGTCAAAATACAATTAATGATAATAAACAATTAACTATTAAGACAGTCTTGGAGGGGAAATGTGCTGGAAACTTGACTCAGAGCAACTCAATGTGTAATCTTTTGGAGAGAAAAAAAAAAAAAACAGTCAACAACTGCAGCATAACATCAAGCTGATCATGTGCCGCTTTAATTTATGAAGCCATTGCACAGGGTGAAGCTGGAGAAATTCCCCTCATTCCAATGACAAAGAGCAATCAGCCTCTCAAGAGATTTAACATGACACCTGCCTGAAGTTACAGCCTGCAACATGTGGAGTCCTCACACATGTCTGAGGTGAGCCCTGTTTTCAGCTGCGGTTTGAACATACCTGTAACTATGATTTAAGTTTCTGGTGGGATAGGGTGAGGAAGGAGGCGGGATTACAACACAGAAAAGGAAAATCATTTTACACCACTGTTCTTGCAGCCTTGTCTTTTGGAGTATTATTTTGGGCAAATCATGCAGAATTAGATTCTGCTCTAGTTACTGAAAAATACATTGCAAACAGCCTCTGGTCTGTCATCAGTGGGACAATAATTACTTGCAAGGGTAATTCAGGGTTGGGTGAGGTCTCTCCTTGTCTCCCTTCATGTAAAAGAAACAGAAGCACCTGAAGGTAGATAGTAATTGCTGGGACCATTTATTTATGGCCACAGCTCATGTGGGTAAGGACGGGATTCATCGTACAAACTTTGACATCGAACTGTTTGTACTTATACTGTATGTGTTTTGCATATGATGCTGTTCCTCCTCGATAAGATATGGTCATTGGAGCCTGGAAAATGCTTCAGCTCATTCTAAAGCAGAGGGTCCAGAGTGTCTGTCTTCCCATGGGTGAAATTCCAAAATTCTCAGGTTTATTCCTTAATTTTTCACCTCCCCAAAAGAAAAAAAAAATACACCAACTCCCAAAGGGGAGTACTACTTCTTACTTCAGCATAAATCCAACTTATTTCACAGGTATACACAGAGTGTCTTTAGTCTGAGTTCTAATAAAGCATTAAACCCCTCTTTGAGATTTGCTGGCTCTCATGTTACTGGGCTGAAGCTGATCTGCATCTAAGGTGGGGTGAGAAGGTATCTGACCTTGTAAAAGAGTACTTCACACTTAGGAGGAAAAAGCAGGCATCACCAAAGTTTTTGTTGCTAGAACATAACAGAAATCATATTTGCAATTAGGATCACCACCAGAAAAAATAGTAGCAAATATTGGATGATAGTTACTCTGTACTGCAGTTAGCTAGCTGTTTTCACTCTAAGATACAGAGAGTTTTTGAAAAGTGCTTAACCTCATGTGCATTATATGATTGGGTGGTATGAGAGTGGGCACCCATCTCATTCAACTCTAGATGACTATGAGGCAGGGGTTAGTATCTGAGCTATCATCTCAGACTTCATTTATTCTCTGGAGAGAATGAGGCACTTTTGCGGATGAATCAGCTGGCCTGTTTTTGACATCAGCTATAGCATGTGAGGAGTTGTGTCCCCAGGAATGTGCTGAACGGGGAGCAGAAGCTGCTTTCTCACAGGGTCTGTAGTGCAGACACCTATATTTTGCCAGGTGGTTTCTACCCATGCTGTGTCCCAGCACAAGGCTGGGGTGACACTCAGCCATGCACCATCATCTCCACCTGCTCTTGGTCCAACCCAATGGAAGCCCGGATGGGAAAGTGGGAATGGAGCCTCGGAATAAACCGTAAAGATTTTGGGTGAATGATCATTAACAGGGAGTGTAGAGCACACCATCTTTGCAGGCCAGGCAACGGTTTTATATAAGAAAACATGAGAGTTTTTTGACAAGGAAGCATGGTCTGTAGGGAAGGTTGGCATTAGGACATTTGGGGGCTGCCCCTGGCCTGACTGTGATAAAAATACCAGAATTTGAAGATGTCTCTTTTCCCACTGGTGAGTGAGGAGTAATGTTTCCCCTCACCTCTCTGTGGTTGTGATTTTTGTCATTCCTTATCATTTATAGGTGACCTTTAAGATTCCCTCATAGAATATAGGAAAATTTGTCATGGAATCTGAGTTTTTCTTTTTGCCACTCATGAGGCTTTTTTCAGGCTGGGAGGGACCTTTGCAATCATTTAATCTGATTTATTCACTGCATATCACAGGCTAGAGACTTAAAACAAGGTCTTTGTGATCAGAAAAGGCAAGAAAGCCTTTGCCACCAGGAGCCAGCTTTTCCCCTGCCTTCAAGCTTGTGACTTGAATATGTGTGCACAGAGGAGAAGGAGGCACTGGGTCAGGCTTGTCAAGCAGCAGAGACCACCATGCACACAATGATGCAAATTTCTCAGTCATCAGATCTGTATGAGGAACAAGGAAAAAAAAAATAATAATCTTCTTTAAAACCTCATTAGTTAATTATCGTCACTGCAGATGGTGTCCAGCTGTAAGCTCCTTTCTGCTCATCTTAATCCCATTCCAAGCAGCTGCCATAGGCAGAAGAGCTCGTGGTTGAGTATGGAAGTGTATGACGGTGGGGAAAGCTGTGAGGAGAGATGTAAAGCTTTAGGAAGGGAGGGGGGGACCTGTCCCCCTGTGTAGGCAGCAAGTGAGCAGAAACATTTCACCTCTCATTTGTAGGGCTGAGAAAAATAAACCAGTGAGTTTTCTCTGCCTGGATTTTGATCTCCTCTGTGAGCGCTCAAGGGAAGCCTGACCTGGGATGGATTATTGACCTGAGAAAAGCTATGTACCTGGATGACCTTTGCTGTGGTGAGTTGAATCTTCCTCTCTCTATTCCTCTATGCACTTGTGAATCAATACAGGGAAGAGAAGCAACAATCGAGATATGGGAGTGATGGAGAGCAAGCAGGAGCAGGAGGCCTGATGTTAGTATTGACTGCCTTTTTCCAGTAGCTCTGTTGTCTTTTTTTCTTACAGCTTTGTTTCTTACTAGGAAAGTGAGGTGTGGTTGATGTTCACGTGGGAGAAATAGGTGTCCATGGCAAGTAAGAGTTATATGTAGGGGGGAAGTTGCTGATGTGATCGAGACATAGCTTGTGGCTGTATTTTCCTCTGGTGAGCAAAGCAGATGCTAACCCTGGAAGATTTCCAAAGGCTGTTTTCATGTTTTCCTGGGAGGCTTTGCAGGGGACTCTGCGTCCATCCTTACTGAGGCATTTCCCAAGGAAATATGTCTCCTTTCTGATCAGACCTGGATTCCAGTTTTCCTGATATAACTCACTGCAGCCACTTAAAGTCTCTGATGTTATTCAGGGTGAATCAAGCCCATAAGATGTGGGGTTCTGTGCACAGAGAGGGGAATCCTGTCTGTTTTAGGCACTGCTGCCCAGGCAGGCTTGCTCCAACACCCATTGCTGATGGAAGGGATTGTGACTTTCACCACAATCCCAGCTGGGTTCTAAACCTGAATTTCTGCTCTGCTTTTCTCTGTAAGATCTGAATAGCCCACAAGGCCTTTTTTTTTTATTTTATTTTTCATTATTTCTTTTTCTTTTGTTGGCAACCCCTCAGTCTCTCTAAGTACAAGCTAAAAGGGGGGCCTTGTGTTTTTTGGTTAATACAAGTCTCTGGTCATTAACCCTTAATAGTTCTTCAGTTAATTACTATTAAAAAAATGAATTAATTTATTGGGCTGAAGAGAGGTTCATATAGTTGATGACATAAGGGTCATTTAGATCATCGGGTCTGACCCTCACAATAGTATGGGGCACCAAATTTCATCCCATAGCTCTTGGCCTTTTATTTATGGTGTTTATACATTGTGTTAGGAAACTAATAGTGTCAGGACTACATATATGTAGGAGTTGAATTAACACATAGGGGAACAAGAGTACCGGTATAAATTTACCTGTAAGTCGCAGGTCAGCAGCCCATTAAGTCTGTGAAGAGAAGAACCTGATGATACTCAAAACCCACCTGGTTTCATCAGTCTGTTATGGAAGAATGTTGCCTGGTGGCCATACTCCTGATCTGGGAATTTCTGCATCTCTGTGACTCTTCTTGTAAGGTTGGGACCAAGATTTGTATTTGCTTTGGAACATTTGAGACTACAGTAAATTCTTGGCCTGTCTATAATCTATGAATTGTTGGTTGTGATGGTGACTGATCAGTATTAATCTTCTACTCCCTCAAATTTCTCCTTACAGCAACTGATAGCACAAGATGATGTTTCTATCTCTTGCTGGGTTTTTTTGTTGTTTTGTTTTCCCCCCTGTTGCACTGGATCTCCCTTGACTCTTCTTTGGAGCTTTAATAGTTTCATTGCTCTCAATTGTTGTTATTATTAATTTGTGCCCATTAATGTAAAATTAATGTGCCATTAATGTAAAAGAGGGACAAATTGCATGTTCAGATGTAAAATGTCGCTTACACAGCTTAGGTGGTTTTAATATATTAAAAAATTAGTTTGGAGAGATAAATAGCGGATCTCTTCATCTTTTCCCTTCACAGTGCAATTTTTTTTTCCCTAAAATCTACTCCCTTAAAAAAAGAAAACTTTTTTCTTTTTTTCCTAGTCTAGTTTCAAATAACCTATGTGAAGGGGCTTCCACTACTTCATTTAAATATTATTCCAATCTAAATAACCTCACTTGCCCTTTTCTCAGTTTTATCCCATCACAACTATTTATACCCTCTTGCTCTACATTAAGCAATTCCTCTACATGCCTGGGAAGAATTAGCAACTTAACATTTTGACCACATAAAGAATGAAAGACACGGGAGAAAATCAAGACCCAGGTACAGCTAGAGCCAAAAATATTTCAGAAAGAACTTGGTTTCATCTATTTGTGTAGTGCCTACACCATCAGCTTCCCCTCAGCCTAACTTATCTCCTGGCTTGCAGCACACAGTCATTCCTCATTGTTCACTTACAAGGGCTGAGAGCTCTTCACAATGGAGATCTTACTTCTTCCTTGGCTCTCAGCTCTCTCCTGCCTGCCAGCTCTTTTATTTCCCTCAGGCATTAGTTGGCCAAGCAATGTATGTTTAGTGCTTTCAGTATTTTTTTTTCCTCTCTCCTTCATCTAACCAACCCCTCAATCATTCTGTTGCTTTTCTCCAAAACCTCTCAAAATTGTTGGCATCCTGCAGGCCTGTGGCTGTCTAATGTTACCCTCAGTCTTCCTCTTCCCGCAGGGCATGGAAGTTAAGTTTGTTGCCTTGCTTTCTTAGGTGTTTCCACTGACATTGGCGCTCTGGATTGCGTGAGAAGAGTCCTGTATATACTTAAAGGCTTAGCAGGAGAGGTGGGCTACCCAGATGGCAATGCAAATCCTTCCATGCTTCTTTCACAGTAGCTCACCTGGAAACAATGCACTTTTGTCAGAGATTGGCTTTATCTCTTTCTCTTTGCATTAATGAGTTAGTGCAAATCACTGTATCGGGACTGGGGAGACAAAGGTTGCATTCCTAGTGCTGTCCCAATGGCCGTATAAGTGGTACGTGGCAAGTCACTTGATCCATCGGTACCTCAGTTTCCCTTTTAGCCTTTGTCTGCCTCTTCTGTTTGATGCTCCAGGAACCATGACTATCTCTTAGGTTTGTGTCTATGCAACTCTGAGACGGAGGAAGAGCCTAAGCACTGCGGGGTCCCCAAGCTGCCTGCTTCCTACCCACCCCCTGTGTTATGTGCTGGGTTTCGGCATCCACAACACGCTTGGGAAGGAGCCAGGCTTGGGTATCCGGTGATGGCATACACAGGACCACCTGGATGTAGCCCAGCAAAACGAGGTTGGCTCGCGTTACGCACCCAGAGAGCACAGGTGACCCCTTTGTGCGCGCGGGCCTGCTCACAAGCCTGACAGCAAGCCTGGGCCCGTGCCGGCTGGCGGCGTGGATGTCCCAACACGTGCATTTACCGTCAGCCATCACGGCAGCAGCCTCCGAGCACTGCTGGAATCCCAAGGAGCAATAAATCTATAGAAATGATAACTGCTGACTCAACAGACCCGGTGCGCGTCCCAGAGCCACGTTGTGCCAGTGCTACTCCTTAAACAAATATGTGGGTTTAGGCTTTTTAGCCTGGTGCGGCCAGTAAAGCTGTGAGTGAGAAATGGATTCTTTGCTGCCTTATGGAGACATACATACAGGTGTCAGTTAACCTCCAGCTGCTGTGTTGGGTTGCACTGGGAGTGACAGAAGAGCAGAGCATGCCTCTCAGAGCCCAGAAGGCAATAAGGATCTGGTAGATAATAAAAATAACCTGCAGAGTTGTAAGTTTAGAATGTTTGATCTAGAGTTACTAAGAAGAAACACATTTACAGTAACTTTTGGTACTAAAAGTGCACCTAAGAATAATGAGATATATCCTAAACATAAGAGGTAATTTATTGAACTAACTATAGCGGCTGCCAAAGCGGTGTGGAAAATTTTTGTCCTACTTGAGGGAATATTCACTGCTGCATTGAAGTTTCTTTGGAATTATCCCATACAAATTGCTCACAGGTTCCTTTTGCTCAGTGGCTTTATTTCTTCATATTTGCATTCTTTCTGCATTAGCTGCCCAGGCTTAGTCAGCTGGTGTCGTCCTTGTTTCTTGACTGCACAAGCCAATCTCATGTCACTGAGATCTGGCCATGAGGTCTTGCAGGGAGGTAGTTCTGACTTGCCCGCTATGAACACCTCAGCAAGCCCATTAGCACATTTGGCAGATGCCCTTCCAATTAAAGTTCAGGCAAAATCAACCCTAAAGTTGGAAAAACATGGCACTTAGCCAATTCATGGAAAAAAAATCAGCATGAATAATCCTGGGTATATTTTGCAGTACTTTTCCAGACTTACTTCCTTTTTGTTGGGGATTCATTCACCCATTTCAATACGCTATCACTTTAAGCTTCCTCAAAGGCATGCAAAGCCTCTTAATAAATAATCTTGCTATTTCTTATCACATCTGTCTCTGAGTGATCGACAGGACAAATGGGACAATGTTCACATCTAAATCCAGGTCAGGATCAGATATAGGCTGAGAAATAGTGGCGATGAAGAGCTGAGTGATGACTGTGGTGTTATATAAGCTTTGCATTGACTCCTACATGTTTTAGAAGTTCTGTGTTTTTAGGATGAGTATGAAGCCAGGGAAAGGAGGTTCACAGCAGCAAGGAGGACTACATCTCTCCCTACACTTTCACATGTCATCTATTACCATAATAGCTGAACACTTTCTGCTCCATGGATTGCAAGGTGTGGGCTGAATTGGCCAACCCTGGCCACCTTCAGGAGAAACAGGAGCAAGAAAGGAGAAGGTGAAGAACTTCAGAGCTGCTGAGGGTGGTAAGGGCAAAAACAGGGGGAAACCACCAGATTCCAGAACTGAAGAATTTTAAAGGTAGAATTTTGAATCGACCTTGCATAATATTGTGAAAGCCGATAAAGTTTATAACAGTTGAGATAAGCTAGCTCAGAAACAGAAAGGTGTTTTAGCAGGAAGGGATGGCGGGAGATTTTGGAGAGATTACAGTCAAGAGTCTGTAGGATTTGGCAACAAACCAGATAAGAGTGTTTGGTGTGAAGGAGATGTAAGTGTTGAACACGACACGGAGATTGTGAGTTTGAGTGTCATACAAATGTGGGTTATTCACAGCAAGGAGGGCTGGGGAAGGGAAAGGTTTGTGGTGAAAGATAAGGAGGTGTTCTTTTAACCGCGATAAGAGTTGGCAGCTCCACATCTGGGAAAGAGCTTGGAGAAAGAGTAGGAGAGGCCCAGCGGTGGAGAGTTACACCCACTACCATGAACGTGGAGAATGATGTCA